CCCACCACCTCTGGCATATGGGGCCGGTGCCCTAGTCCTTTGAGCCACAGGCACCGCCCGCCTTTGGAAGCTTATACCTGGTCTCCCCTGAACTTCACCCCATATCCCTTTTCCTTTGCTGATTTTACTGTGCAACCTTTTGCTGCAGTAAATCATAGCTATAACTATATGCTGATTCCTCTGAATCCTCCTAGCAAATCATCTGATCTGGTGGTCCTGGGCCTTCCAACCCAAGGACTTGCAGCACTCAGTTGAACACTGATGTATGAAGTTCAAATGAGTCTGCCTGAAAAGTGCTCCAGGTGACAACAAATACCAACTCATAAACATGTGAGTGAGGCTGGCACACACTGTCTAGCCTCACTCAACCTGGCAGTTAAAATGCAGCCCCACAAGTGATCCCAGGCAAGACCAGCAGAATCACCCAGCCAAGTCCAACCAAAATTATTGACTCACAGAATTATAAGCAAATAAAATGATTACTATTTTAAAGTCACAAAGTTTTGATATAACTTGTTATACAGCAATAGATAAGCAACATATTCACAATATGACAGCTAACATTAAAGAGCCTAACTGGTACCAGGTACTGTTCAAAAGTTTAATATTGGTTTTCTCAATCAGTTATTTTAAGTGTCAAGAGAGGTCTATTATTACCTTCATTTTTCCTGAAGTAATGCCCCAGGTCACTCAGCTAATAAATGAATAAACAGACATAACTCCAAGATGTCTAACTCCATAAACTGTGCTCTTACATCACTATATTACCTAACTTTCTCCTGATGCAGACAAAAGCCTTTCAAAATAATTTGATGTAGTGCTAATGTTTTACACATTCAAGCCTATATAAGGAAGCCAACTCCTTTGTCTGAGTTTATAGAGATAGCGGCTAAAAGATTTTTTCTCCCTACTTTCTTTTAAGTACCCAAGTCTCCAACATATTCACATACTCATCATATCATTATAGATATTTTCCTATTCTCATCCTATTTACTTACATCCTATTTACTTACCTTCTTCTATTTTTATGTGGCATAAGCAGAATCCCAGATGTTTACTAGGCATCTTGAGTTTGTATGATCAAGAAAAATACAAAATAACTATTTAAGTTATAGACATAATCTGTGATGCAATTTAAAGATACAACTAGAAGACTATAGATTAAAATATCTACATAAATATAAATTCTCATAAATAGCTAAAAGTTATATTTCTCTTCAATATATCACTTTCATCTCTTAAAAGAAAAAAAAAAATAATAAAGAAGTATCCACTTCAGTGATATGGTCAGTTTGCCTGAAGTAAATTTTTAACAGCAAATTACTTACTGGTATTTTTTAAGGTAATATTATGAGTTTAGATAGCTATGCACAAAGACTCATCTAGAATTAGACCATTCTGATACCACTTAATAGCTGTGAGATCATGATCAAGTTACATCATCTCGCCTTGCCTCAGCTTCCTTGTATTAAAAATGAAAATGAAAATATTAATAGTTTCAATTTCACAAGGTTTTTTGATTAAATGACATAAGTAGAGCTTTAGAACAGTGCCTGGCACACATACATTAGCTACTATCTTGCATTATGAGTGTCTGAGTGGCTTTGAGATAAAAGTTAAAGAGCATTATTATTGGAGACAGAAAACCAACAATCTCATCCTGGGGTCAGCAAACTTTGTGGAAAAGCACACATAGTATTTGAGGCATGTAGACTACACAGTCTCTTATCACAACTACTCACCTTAACCTTCTAGTATGAAAATAGCCATGAACAATACATAAGCAAGTGACCACAGCTATGCTCCAGTGACTTCACTTACAGATACTGAAATCCGAAGTTGCAGTTTTCACACATCACAGAACATTATTGTTCTTTTCCTTTTTTCCCAGCCACTTAATCTTGTAAAAATACATGCTCAGCTCAGTAGCCATCCGCACACAAACAGGCATCTCAACTGGTTTGCCAACCAGCCTTTCCAGTAGCTGGTTGGCTGTGTGAGCCTAAGAAGCATCATCACACAGAAAAACAAGAATAACACACTCTCCCTTCTTACCTTCCAGCCAGCTCTGAGGAGTCAGTGAGACAACTAGTATGCAAGCACTCCGAAAGGCAGGCGACGCTACAGGAAAAACAGTTGTAAAAGCAATAATAAACATTTGTCTTAAAATATTTGGTTCCGAAGCTGCACTGGAACAAAAATTTCGAGGAAAAAAATTATCACTGGGGAGGCAAGGCGAAATGGGGGAAAGAACTTTTGAGTCATATGCAACAGGGTTCACTTCCAGGATCCCCCATTAATTATGAGCTGTAGATACTTCGGTATTTAAACATTTCTGAAGAGCATACATTTCTTCACCTGTAAAACGGGAAAGATAATTCCTACCTCACAGAATTATAAAATGTTAGTGAAACAAGTAGACGATCCACCTACTCCAACCACCAGGGACTTAGTAGGTGCTCATTTTAAAAATGGCAGTGGATGGTGCTAGCATTGTCAGCGTGCAGGTCCTAAAGATTCCTTGGAAAGGTTTTATAGTAGGGAGTGAAAAGTTGAAGAATTGAGGTCTACATCCATCGTGGGACTAGAGCCTTCGCTTGCTGCCCAACTAATGAACTTCAAGTAGGCATCGATGGGCCTTAGCCTTTCAATTCGCTGACGTCCCATCAGGACCTTGCAGCTACATTAGATGCTATGACCTCCGAGCGACCACCTCAGATCCAACTAGACTCCAGCACGAAGCCACTATACAAACAGCAGGTACCTGGCACTTTGCTGTCACCGAAATGCCTTCACGGGCTACAACTTACATCACTACTTAAAAACGAGACAGGTGGACGAGGAAGAGGTGAGACTCACCGGCTTCGGGGCGACCAGAGAGGTGCGGGCTCCGCTGAGAGAAAAGCCTCTTCAGGATCCCTTCTCAAGGCTGCACTAGTCCCCGCGGAGTATAATTTCAAATCTCGCGGGAAGTCCTGACAACCAATCGCTGCGCTCGCCCTCCGACCCGGAAGCAGAACTGGCGCGCGCCGCAGCAGCCCCCGCAGAAGACCAACTAGCTCAGTTCGCCTCCCGGCCATCTCTGGTGCGTATAGCGGGGCGCAGCCCAAAGGGTCGCCTCGCTTTGCTCTCTGCCTCCCTTCGCTCCCACCCCATCCCGCGCAGTTCCTACCTCTTCCTTCGGACCTTGGGCTAGGAGGCGGGAACGGGGTCTCCCGGCATTCGCCCGGCCTCGAGAGAGGAGTCAGGGCTTTTTGCACCTACTTCTTGTTCCCCACCCCCTTCTCTGCTTTTCCAGTTTTAGAAGGGCAGGTCCTGCCTACCTTCTGCGGTGAGGCCCTGAGAATACAGGGATCTTATGCACTGGTTTAATGAGCAGTAATTAAGGAGCTGGGACCAAGTTTCCAAACCTCAGATGCCTTGCACGTCCCATAGCGCCTTGCCACCTGCTGGTCACCCACCCTTAGTAAGCGTCCAGTCCCAGATGCCCATTCTTAAGGTTGCTAGTTTATAAGTTCCTGAGGTGGGACTCATCTAATTTTCATTAGATATTTGCCAAGCGCTTAATGTGTTTCAGAGCCCAACTTGTTTTCAGGACAACTCTTGCATCCAGTTTAAAAAAACAAAACAAAACTCTGCATTTTTATCATTCTCGTGTGGGAATGCTGCTTCCAGAATGTACACTCGACCCTAACAGGTTGAGGTTTTGTGTATGGTTTCATGAATATTAGCTTTCTATCACACGTTTGCACTCCTTCTTCCAGATCCTATATTTTGTATCTGCTTATATTGTAGCAGTTTTCACTCTGAATCATAACTATCCCCAGATTGTGATCTGCTCCAAACCAGGAGATTGTATTTTTCGTTCTAGCACTGGTGCCCCACATGTCATGAAGTCTTTCAAATCCTGGCCCTGCATATGAGGGCAAGTTAGTTACTTAATTTCTTCATCTGTAAAATGAGGACCATAGGTTGGCCTGCGTTTAGTTTTGCACACATAGTAGGTGTGATGATGTCAGTTAAGTGATTAACATAGCACCTACAGATAGTCCTCCATAAATGTTAACTGTCATTAATTGTTATGAAATAGATTTGCTGTTAAAGTGATTCCATCTTGAAGTACTCACTATAGGTAATTTAACCAGAATGTTATGCTGTTAAATTCTCCTGGTATAATTTACAAATGTGGAAAAGAGGATGTAGAGTAAGAGTTGAACCATTAATATTAACATTAGATTGAATTTTTTCCTTGCAGTTTCTGTGCCTTGGTAAGTACTTGAAATGTTTCTGTTGAAATGTCTGCAGCATTGCAGTGTCAGAACCTTATCTCCATGCATTTGCTGAAGGACTGTCACTTTGAATATTTTTAATTTTTTCTGTGCTGTAATCCCCAGTTTCAGGACCTTGTTTCCAGTAGAAGACAATAGTCTTTTACAACTGCTTGAGTTTTGACATACAAGATGAAGCAAGATCCCACAAGAAATGCTGCCTACACTGTGGATTGTGAAGATTGTGTGCATGTAGTAGAATTTAATCCCTTTGAGAGTGGGGATTCAGGAAACCTGATTGCATATGGTGGCAATAATTATGTGGTGATTGGCACGTGTACATTTCAGGTTAGTCTACAAAACTGCAATGAATGACAAGATATTTCTCCGATAAGAAAACTTAATATAAACCAAACCTAAGCTTTGAAAATATATTGACTTTGAATGTAAAGAAAACAAAAAGGTAAGAAGAACCACAAAGAAGCCATTCCCAATAATATAAGCCTAAGATTTGTGCAAATATTACATAGTGAAAAAGGATACTATGAGGCTTCTCTTTTGCCTCATGATTAATAATGGAATATTCTGGTAATGGAAGGCTATGAATAACTAAACATGGGTATGTACAGAAAAAAACCCAATTAAATGAGATCAAATTAATTACAATTTTTTTACATTCTGTCTTGACATAAAAAACAAGCTAATATTGAAGCCTGTAAAACCTTCAGGAGATTTTATAGTTTTCATGATATTCAGCTTTTCTGTTAATATGCCCTCATACTTTTTATACCTCTAGTGCAGTGGTTTTCAACCTTCCTAATATGGCAACCCTTTAATACAGTTCCTCATGTTGTGGTGACTCCCAACCATAAAATTATTTTCGTTGCTACTTAATCACCAAAATAAAATTGCTTTGTGGTAAACATACACCATGTTTTCCCACAGAAAAGCTAGTTCTAGTTCAATCCTAGGAACTCTCTGGTTAATTCTTTGTTTAATAGAATATTATTAATAGAATTATATTTACTCAAATTATAATAAGATAATTTGGCAGTGATCAGTTTTCAAAAATGTACAATAACTTTTATCACTAATGTGATAGACTATTATAAACATTCCTTCTTTTACTATCAAGGCCATTCCACGTTTTGCAGTGTTTTGACATTAGAAGTGCAGTTTGGTATTTTTACAGTACAATGAATCTACAGTGTCATACAAAATTAGGATGTATTTATATTTATCCTGAGTGGAAATGTTAATTAAAAGTTTCAGTTTATTGGTGTCTGAGTAGAACATGAGAGCGCCTAGTCTATTTCATATTGTCTCTTGAGTAGAAGTAGGAATTTCAAGCTTGTAGGCCACATATGGCCCCCAGGCTGACTTTAGCTGGACTTCCACATTGGGGCCATAAAAAGTCATATAATTAAGACAATCTAACATGCTCTTGAAAAAGAAGAAATCATTTCTCTACACAAGTCATCCACCTACAAAAGAATAAAACAGACTCCTACAGGTGAAACTAAATTTTTACTTCATTGCTTTAAAAATTATTAGTTGTGAATATACAATTTTATTCAGAAACATTGACAAAACATTTATTTCTGATTTATTAAGAAGTGTTGAGAAAGAGTCAAGAAGGGATAACAAACTAGGAAAAGACAACAGCAGAAATAATAGGTGGTACAGAAAAAGGGAGAGAGAAGGAAAATGGGAAAATGAGAAACCAAGAACTAGTAAAAATCATTTGTATTGTTCCATCATGGTTTATGGTCATGTGTATTGTCTAAGTTGATCCTCAGACCTATGAGACTGGCAATGTAGGTCTTAATTCCCAAATTACCTAAGGAAAAAAATAAATTTATTCATTTAGCAAGAGTGAATACAAGTCACATTCTGTGCCAGGCATTGGAAATACATTTAAACAAGTCTATATCTGATTAAATTATTGCTTCCCTTTGAGGTTATTATCTAGGTAAACACTGTTAAGCATTATTCATGGCTCAGCACCCATAGTTCAGTGAGTAGGGCACCAGCCACATACACCGAAGGTGGTGGGTTCAAGCCCGGCCCAGGCCTGCAAAACAGCTGACAACTACAACCAAAAAATAGCCGAGCGTTGTGATAGGCACCTGTAGTCCCGGCTCCTTGGGAGGCTGAGGCAAGAGATCACTTAAGCCCAAGAGTTTGAGGTTGCTGTGAGCTGTGATGCAACAGCACTCTACTGAGGGCAAAATAGTGAGACTGTTAAAAAAAAAAAAATTATTCATATTCTCAGATTAGAAACTTCAAGTGGCACCAAATTTCCTGCCTGTTATCTTGAGAGAAAACTAAGTAAAGGTGAATCAGTTTGAAAGATTTCCATATTCTTGCCAGAAAACCAATCCTTATTTTAAGATTGTTAAGAAAACACTGTAGACATAGTGAATTTGAATTTCAACAGCATTTTTCAGATTCTCATGCTGTCTTTTTGAATATGATGGAAATCTGAACTGAATGATAGTTCTCTTAACTGGTGTCATGTGTTTGTCAAATATTCGTGAAATGTGTACAAGGTGCCAGGAAGTTAAAAAAGTGAGGACCTTGTCCTCAAGGAAATACTTAAATGCAAAGCAGTGCAGTAAGAAAACTGCTATAAAAGCCCCATATTTAAAGAGCACAGAAGTGTGAACATTTGTAAGTCTATTCACAGTCTTTATTAATGAATTGAGGCTTCTGAGGGGACTTGGATGAGAACATTGATTAAGGCAAGTACATTTGATTTATGTAGAACATGAAATTGAGAAGGATACTTTAGTGCTTTGGATAACAAACTTAACAAGTATTTATTGAGCACTTTTTTGTATGCCAGACTCTGCACTCAGAAATATTTTTTATAGATTGGATTAATGGGGCAAATTAAACAAGTTAAAATTTAATAAATATAAATATAAAATGGTAAAATGATAGCCTGTTGGACTGGGAAGGAAGAATTGTGACTTAGGGATTTTATTCACCTGAAAATGCCCTATGAGTCAGTGCGATGATTAAACTGCCAAAGGGAACTAATTCTACACTGTCAAGAGAAATATAATATGAGCTACAAATAAAAAATGTAGTAGCCACCTGACAAAAAGTACAGAATAGGTGAAATTAATTTTAAGAACATAGTATTTTTACAGCTTATCTAAAATATTTTACATGTAATCAATATAAGTTATTGAGCTATTTTATATTTTCATAGTCTTTGAGATCTGGTATGTATTTTACACTTTATTCTCACTCCTGTATGGTGTTTTATAATAAGGAATATCCCACAGCTTATTTATCTGTTCCTATATTGTGGCTATTTGGGTTACTTTTAGTTTTTTAACTATTAAAAACTTTGCAATATGCATATTCTTATGTTTTCTACTTGTGTTTTAGTACTCCCTCCTTTCATTTTTCTCCATGATAGTTTGGAAGCTATATGTGCCATTTCCCTTTTTTTTAATTATCACCAAAGACATTTAAACATGTATGCTTGTTAGAGTCAAAATTAATCTTTACCTTCTTCGTGAAGAAGAGTGAATCTTTAACATTTGAACTGTTATCTTTCCTCCAAATTTACTATCTAGATTTTAGTTTCTTTACTTTTCAATTAAGAGTGAATCTTTAACATTTGAACGTTATCTTTCCTCCAAATTTACTATCTAGATTTTAGTTTCTTTACTTTTCAATTTAGATAGGTTTATTTTGTGTGGTTAACATTTACTTATATTTACCCACCTGTTTGCCTTTGATCTTTTTAACTCACTGTTTCTTCAATCTCAGGCCTTCATTCTAGTATCATTTTTCTTCACCCAAAAAGCACATCTTTTACTTCAGCAATTGGTAAACATTTTTTAGAGGGCCAGTTAGTAGATATTTTACAGTTTGCCAAGCTCTTAAGGTCTCTTGCATATTACTTGTTTTGTTTTTTTACAGTTCCTTAAAAATATAAACATTCTCAGCTCATGGACTGTACAAAACCAAGCCATAGGCCAGATTTGGCCACAGAGCCAACCTTTAGTGAGAGTTCATTGATGCTATCTCTAGATTTTTTGTTTTTTCTAAAAATAATTCTTAATACACTCTCATTCTTGAAAATTAGTTTTGTTGTATCAACAAGTCTGCAGTTATTTTCTCTTAGCATTTTGAAAATATTATTCCATTGTCTTCCTGCTTTAGTTGGTTCTTTTCAGAAGTCAATTGTTGGTCTAGTTATTACCCTTTTATAAGAAATCTTTTCTGTGCAAGAATAGTCTTTTCTTTCTACTACACTTGCTAAGATCTTTCAGTGTGTGTATGTGTGTGTGTGTTTCCTGAAGTTTCTGTATATAACATCTGCTATAGATTTCTTATTTAAGCTGCCTGGGATTTATTGTCCTTTCTAAATATGGCTATTAATGCATGTCATCAGTGTGGAGAATTCTTTCCCATTATTTCTTCAAATACTGCCTCTTCCTGCATTCCCTATATTCTCTCCTGCTACAACCCAGTCAAGATATATGGTGGAACTTCTCACGATAATCCTTTGTGTCTCCTAACCACTCTTCTTTTCTTCTCTTTGCTGAATTCTGAATAATTTTTTCAAATCTGTCTTCCAGCTGCATCAAAGCATTGATTTTTTTTTTTTTAAATTTCAGTTGTGGTATCCTCAGCTCTAATAGTTTAGTTCATTCATTCAGTTTTGAGACAGGGTCTTGCTTTGAGCTAGAATATAGTGGCATCATCATAGTTCGCTGCAACCTCAAACTTCTGGGCTCAGCCAGTCCTCCTGTCTTAGCTTCCAAAGTAGTTGAGACTATCACACCCATCTAATTTTTCTGTTTTTTTAAAAAATAGGGTCTCACTGATGTTCAGGCTGGTCTCAAACTCCTGGCCTCAAGCAGTGCTCCCACCTCAGCTTCCCATAGTGCTAGGATTACAAGCTTGAGTCAACACACCCAGCATTCTCTTTATTTTTAGTTGACAAATAATTGTACATATTTATGGGATACAGTATGATGTTTTGATACATATATACAATGTTGAATGTTTCCATTGAACTAATTAACATATCCATTATCTCACTTATCAATTTTGTAGTGAAACATTTGAGATCTACTTTGTAGTTTTGAAATTTAAATTATTAACTATAGTCACCATAGATGCGCAATAGATATCAAACTGTTTAACTGAAAGTTTGTACCTTTTGATCAACATCTCCCCTTTCCCCATCCTCCCCCTGCTGTAGCCACCATGCTGTTTTACTTCTATGATTTCTGTGGGAACTTTTGCAGGCCTAGGTAGAGCTAATTCATCCAAAGAGACGTTGCCTTTTTTCTTTCTAGTGCTTGGGACCTCTACTAACATCAGACCACTTTT